CATTCAAGTCATCAAAGGGGATGATCCTCTAAATCTCATTTTTATTTTTAGTAGCTGGCAGGAAACTTTGACCAGTGGTTGCAAAATTTTTGTCTCTAGGAACACATTTTTGTATTTGAAAATTTTTTGTTTTGTATTTTTATGGTGAAACACACCTATTCTATAGTTAATAGACCCTCCCACCTAATATAAGTAGGAGTAGTAAGAGAAACGAGGGTAAAAAGCATCTTTGAAATGACAAAAAGTGAAACATTTTTAATTTTGAAAGTAGTCAGCGACAGGGGCGGGTTAAATCCACTTCTTCCTGTAAAATTTATTTACCTAATTATATCAAATTCCTAACGTTTTGATTAAAAAATCGTTAAACTATTTTAGGACCGATTTAGCCCCAAACAAATTTTTTCTAAAAAAAATAATTTTCAACATGAAAATTTGCATCTTTGGCCTCACCAAATTTTATGTGATAAAGTTTACATTTAAAAAAAAAAAAAAACCAGACATGGTTAAAGGGAGATAACCAACATTCAAAGTCAGAACATTATCATTGATAACTCTCTTCTCCACTTTGCAGAGCCTAGTTACTATATTCTTACTATTTAATATAATGCAAAAATATCACAATGATAAAATCCATCAATAATTATACCATGGACTGAACATGTGAGCAACAATGAGGTTTTAGAGAAAATAGAAACAAAAAAGAAATTTAGACTTAACATCCGGAAGAGACAGTTGAAAATTCTGGAGCACATAATATGGAAGGAGAGCTTGGAAAATTTGTTGCTCACAGAAGATATTGAAGGAAAGAGGGACAGAGGAAAGCAGCTCATAACGTACTTGACAAGCTTGAGAAAATGAATGGTGGAACAGGGTTTATAAATAAAGAAAAGACAGAATTTATTTATAGCTGCAAGGGACAGGAAATTGTGGAAAGTCATGATCACCTATATCAACATTTCCCAAACTTTTTTCTCTGGGCCACATTTTCAGAATGTAAATTTGCTCACACCTCATGTTGTGAATATCAATTTGCTAGCTCTCTTTTACTGTGGGCCGATATCAAGATAGGACACTAAAATCAGTGCTCCTTTATATGATAAAAAGTACATTTAAAAATAAAAAATACTGTGTTAAATATAATATCTAACACAAATAACTACATGAATTTAATAAAAGGTATGAGCTTGTTTTTGATGAGTATATCTCCTTTATATTGGACTTAATTTGAGATAAACAAACTATCATCTCTTTATCAACACAAAGAAACCTTTCTCTTTTTGGGTTATTGATAATTGTCAGAACTGAAAATCCAAAACTAAAATGGTGCAAGCAGCCCTATGGCAAAAAAGGTCAAGTGAGAGTGTTAAAGGGAGATAACCATGGATTCAAAATCAGAACATTATCATTGATAACTCTCTCCTCCAATTTGTGGACCATAGTTACTATATTCTTAATACTTGCAAAAATATCACAATGATAAAAATCGGTCAATAATTATTTATAACTATTTATACTGGGAGTCATGCATGCAATTACAAGTAATGCATAATAATATTTTAAATTTTGAAATCAAATTTATTTTTGGATTTTGAATTTTTTGAATCTGTTTCTAAATCTTTGATTGTCTTTCAATCATTCTGCCTCACCTGCTATCCCCTTCTGTCACACCTATGAGCCATGCAACATTGTTTATGAAACACTGGCTTAGACCATACACATCACTTACTCATTAACTCAACAACAGAGTTCAACTTTTTATTCGTCTTTTTTATAGAGACATTTTTTTTTATTTTTGCAACAAGGTTCACCTGATACAAATCTCAGGGGCCACTCAAGGTAGAGTATTACATTAAGTGATATTTTATATGGATAGGAGGGGAAGATAATGGTTAACCCTAGACTTGAACTGGTTAAGATTGTAGTAATCAGGGAAATCGCTTCCACAGAGCAGTGGTTCATAAGAAGAAACTGTTTGAATGGAATTTAATTCTCACTGATGGAATATGGAAGGAATGTGGGTGGTTTGCTACAATGTAAATGGCATGGCGGGTCCTAGCCATGAAGGTTAGAATGAGGCAGAACCAAGGAATGCAGTTTAAGAAAAGTACTTTCCATGGAAGTAGTGTTAGAGCAGTGAGAAGCTTGCCATATCCCATCAGTGAGAGAGAGGGTAAAGGGTGGATAATAATTTATCACCCATAGACTCGGAGATGATTTTGAACTTTATTGAGACTGGAAAGGGAGTACTGGGCAGCTTCCAGCTAAATATGATAATGGTACTCCATTGTTGGTCTGATCTGACTCCTGTAAAGGAAGATAGCATGAGGAGTCAGGTACTTACTGGGGCGATACAAAGAACTGACCATTATTCCTGCATCTCTAGCGATCTTTTCATTCTCACATGCAACAGAACTAACACCAGCAAGAGATAACGGTTAACTCTAGACTTGAACAGTCATGGCGATCAGGGAAACATGGTCTTGGGAGTCGAGGGAGAAGTTGTGGAACTTACTTGTCACCAATGGAATACTCAGGGAAACATGGTCTTGGGAGTCAAGGGAAGAAGTTGTGAAACTTACTTCTCGTTGATGGAATACGAAGGGAATGTGGGTAGTTTGCTACGATGTAAGTGACATGGTGGGTCCTAGCCATGAAGGCCAGGTATGGTGGAACCAGGAGATGCAGTTCATCCGAGCACTTCCATGAAAATAGCGATAGAGCAGTTGATTTACTTGAACCTCCACTGAGTCAGGTTGTGACACAAGGTCAGTTTTTAACGTGGGGACCCGAGTGTCTTCACTCGGGCTGCTGGTCTTAGCTGATCAGAGCTGGCTTAAGCTAGCCATAGCTGGTCCTAAGTTGGTCAAAGCCGGTCCAAGCTAGTCATAACCGTGATACTTCCAACACAGGGATGAATTGTTGTACCCAGTAAGTATCAGTATGTAAACCACTTGAGAGAGCTGTTTACACATTCAAATAGCAATAGATCAGTGAGAGACTCACCACATCCCACTTGCGAGAGATAGGTTGGAGGGTGGAAAATAATTCATCACTAACAAGGATTTGGAAACACTTTTTAACTATCAAGACTGGAAAATGAGGACTGGGCAGCTCCCACCCAAATATAGCAAAAGTACACCATTTTCGGCCTGATCTGGGCCTTGTAAAGGAAGATAGCACGAGGAGTCAGGTACTTACTGGGGCGATACAAAGAACTGACCATTTTTCCTGCATCTCTAGTGATCTTTTCATTCTCGCATGCAATAGAACTAACATCATCAAGAGACTTACCCCCATCATGGGATATCTCCTCCCTTAATGACCAAATTTTTTCAAACCCACACGCAATTCATATTTGCTAACTTAATGACTTTTTCTTTTACAATACATGCATACTCATGTATTTTCTATCCTTTGTTACTCTGTCATATAAAAACACATGAAAATATCACCTTGCTGAAATTTATTCCTTTTCATCTGCTTTTATTAACTATGACGACCTGTCATTTACACGTGTACAGTAAATTTTGTTTGCCACTGCTTTTAGTTTAAGTAGGAGCAGTATTGTAACAAAAGAAAAGTAAAATAAATAAATTCTTCATGTATCTCCTGGTGTCTGTTGTTTTATTTTTTAAGTTTCACGCTTTTTCAGTCTTTATTATAAAATATACAATACTTGAAGATGACACAGTTTATTAATGCGTATGTAATTGGGTTGTGGGCGAGGTGCGTAACCTACTAGTCAGTCGTATGGTTCATGGGTGCGTCTCGCAGTACAAGGTGGGTCGTTCCTTGCCTGGTCTCATAATATTATTAATAAATTTGATCCAAATTTTGAAATGAAACTAATGCAAAAAAAGAAAACAACGCAAAAGATCAAACGATATGTCTACAAAATAAACAGGGCATAAGATCATTAAAATAAGTTTAAAAAAATTTTTTTCTCACTTTTAGGGAAAATTTATATACCAGTACAGAAAATTTTAACAATTACTCCGTGTGTGTGTTGGTGCGCGCTGAGGAATTCTCTTAAAAAGGCTTAATTTTTTGTAGCTTCAAATTTGAATATTTTTTTCTTTTAATTAAAAAAGATTCGTTGTTTACTTTTACATGTTTATAATTACGATAAAGTACAATAAAAAAAATGTCACGGGACATTATTTTTAATTTATTCAATTGTATATTGGGAAAACTTTTTCTTTCTTGTTTCTTTTTTTTCTTTGAGCTCGCAGAAAAATAAAACATGTTAGTTAAAAAGAAAAAAGAAAACACCACATCAATAACTCTTTAAGTGGAACCAAAATTTAAATTTAAAAATGTTTAAATATTTCAGAAACAAAAAAAAATATGCAATCCAATATTCGACAGCTACAAAAAGTTGGATAAAGAAAAAAAAGTAATGTTTTTCTTTAAGAGAGAGATATAATAAAAGTTAAAATAAAATAAAAACTATCACAAAATTTCCATTTTTTTTACATCGTCTGTGTGGGTTCTTATAAAACCTCTCTTATTAAAAATATTGTTTAATTTTTTTTTTAAAGTTTATTTGTAATATGAGATAATAAAAAAAATTTCCAACTTCTCTTTTGCTTTTAGTTTTAATCATACTGTCAACACATGATTTTTCAGTGAGTGAGTGAAACCGGAAGTAGCCGGAAGTAGATGTTTGGCTGGTAATAATACCGAACAAGATGGCGACGCCCGTGGTGGAGAGAAACCTACCCTTAATACGAGAGCAAATTTCGGTGGCTTTTGGCAAGAGTAGCATTGTTGTGAAGTTTGTGGCTGTGGCAGTAACTCTTGGCTATGTCCTGTCCTTCATTAGAGCTGCCATTCCTTATCTAACTGTAACTCCGGGCTATGTAATGCCACCCAATTTCTGGATTTGGACGTATATGACGCACTGTTTTGTCGAGTTACACTTTTGGGATGTTGTCATTGATGTTGCTGTGCTTATTTTGTGTGGAAAACTGCTGGAACCCCTCTGGGGGACCTTGGACATGCTGCTCTTCTTTGTTGTAGTCAACGTGGGCGTGGCACTACTCACATCTTTTCTGTATATTCTCATCTACTTCATAAGTCGCCATGAGATGTACCTGTTCCACACACATATTCACGGTCTCCCCGGATACATCGCCGGATTTTCTGTCGCAGTCAAACAGGTGATGCCCGATCACATTCTTATCACGTCACCTTTGGGAAAGCTCCGAAATACTCACATCCCTCTACTATTGCTTATTCTATCAATTGTACTGCGACTTGTTGGTGCCCTAGACGGACCCTACCCGTTCATGTTTGGCTGGGGTATTGTCGTAAGTTGGGTGTACTTGAGATTTTACCAAAAACATAGCAACGGTAATCGAGGAGATATGGCAGAAAACTTTAGCTTTGCAAGGTATGTAATATTTTAATCTCTAAAATACTTAAATTACCACCTGTTAATTTAAATGTAATTATTTATCGTTTTTCAGTGAAGGATTTTATTGCGACCCTGTCTATCCTGTTCGTTGGGTGCGTGTTCAAGAGAGATTTTTCTTCTTTTTTTTTTTAAATTTTCAATGTTATTGTTTATAAATTCTTCTTAACAGTTAATCTTTTTATGATCTGTTTTATTTTTCTATTCTGTTTTATGAAAAAAGGACGAAACAGATATGTATATTGTTTATTTATTGCACTGTGGATAGGGAATGTATCATATTTCTGTGTTTTTTTTGTTTTTTTTTCCATTGAGCAAATATTTTTGTCTTTCATTTTTATCGAGGAGATCATTAAAAATAAAAATGAACCTTTTGTTTCCATAAAATCGGAAACTTTTTTTTTTATTTACCGAACAATTTAAACAAGTTTGTATCTCATTATTGTTTTTTTGGTGGGGGGTGTATATTATTTTTCTCTAAATCTGAATGGAAATATTTACTTTGATTTGATTTTCTATTTTGTTTTAAAAATCTGATATTTTTTAAAAACTTTCTACATTAAGACTAAGAGTTATTGTTTCCGAATTGTTTGTTTATTTACTTTTTTTTTACTATTTTCTTACTTTATGTCTCCATCCATATCATCATATTTTTAAATTACGCTTCTTAATATTTCCTTTCATTTATAATCCAATCAGGAACTTTTAGATTAAAAAAACAAACAAACACTGGATATGTTGTTAAGTGAAATATCGTTTTTGTAATAAAACAAGACGTGTTTATTTTATCCTGTGGATTCTGAACGTGTGTGTGTGCGTGTATTTACCGATTGAAAAAATCTAGTTTTTGCATTCTTTTGTGCGTTATTCATTTTTTGTTTTCAATGCTTGGAAACGGCCAACCTTTTTGTATTTTATTTATTTTTTTAACATCTGATAAACATTGAGTATTTTAAATCGACAAGACAGTTTTTTATTTATTTATTAAATATTGAGAAAGTTTTTGTTTATTTCCGACAACTGAAAACGCTCCTCTCATCACTGCTACTACATAAACCCTGTTAGTGTTTTAAAAGAAATGCTTTTTAAAAAATAAAATAAAATTGTCCTAAAATAAATTACCAATTGTTACGAAACAGAATATAGGTTATCTAGCTTTATAAAGTAAGCATAAAAAGAATCCAACAATTGTTGAAGAATTTTTAAGAATTCTTATTTTAAAAATGCCTTTTTTTTAAATTTCGATTTTTAAAACCGTTTTTTTATTCTCTTTTTTTTTTTTATTAATAAGTGTTTTATTCACAGACTAAAAGAAAATAGAAGTCATCAATCAAAATTCAAAATCTATTTTTATACCGAGTTATGTTTAAAATTTGACTGACTTTGTCCCAACCGTTTATTCATTATTACCAATTAAGGACTGACTCCATATTTTAGTTGGGGACAGGTGTGCGCAACAACAGGTGCTCTCTCTCTCTCTCTCTCTCTCTATTCTTTCTTTAGCTACGTATAGAAGCCAATTTAATTTCAAACTGGTATTTATTATTTTCTATGAATGTTTCAAGTGTCGAAAAGTTTTGTTTAAACGTTCAAGCACCTGACCCACGTCATCCCTTCGGAACTTGTCTCGATAAATTGAACAAGTGTTTTTTTGTTTGTTTTTTTCTTTACTTTTTGCCTTTTTTATTTCTTTTTAAAACTGAATTATTTCACCGAAGAGTAAAGAAGACTTACTTGTTGAGAACAAAGGAAATTCTTTAATAAAAAATAAATTCCTAATCGCTTTAAAATGCAGTTTTAGTGTGTGTAAACAATCCAAGTTACTAAAAAATGTACGTACTCGATTCTCATTTTTTTTTTTTTTTTAATTCATCACAAATTATGGTCCAAGAATAACCGTGTCTCCTCTCTGTACTAATAAAGAAAAAAACTTTACCAAAGCAATCATTCCGCTCTGTAATCTTTCTTGAAATGTTTAATTTTAGACTTCTTTGTCTTTTTTTTTTTTTTTTTTTTTTTTTGAGTTTTGCATAATTATTGTATTGGGTAAAAGGTCGGTTTTGTTTTTTTTTGTGTAAGATAAGATGCCATTACTTTTTAACTCAATTAAAACAAAACAGGTCGCCTTCTTATTTGTATTTTAACTGTCATATCAAGTTATCGAGCACTTTTTAATTGATTACTTGTTAATTGGCGGCGTATTTTTACTATGTACGTTGCTATTCGGACCAGATTGATTGCTCGTCTTGGTTGTTATGTTCAAATCACAGCCATCTGTGAGTGTCTTTTTAGTCGGTGGCGTATTTTTATTTATCGATTCTGACATTAAAAATCATAAGGACAAGGTACCGGTCCGGATAAACACCTTACCTTCTTCTTCTATATGCTGTGTGTCCCTTTAGGATAGGCGATCATGCCTTTCCACAATTTCCTGTCTTTTTTTGTAGCTTTTAATAAATAATTCAAATTGTGTCTTTTTGTTATCTCTCCTAAACATTGCTCCGCCACTCATTTACTCAAGATCAGTAGGCTATGCCTTGTTTTCCTAGCTGTCCTGTGAGTATCAAGTTTTGCAAGCCCTCTTTCTTCAGTATGTGCTCTAGAAATTTCAACTGTCTCTTCTTGATGTTAAGTATAAGTTTCCTTTTTCTCTAAAACTTTGTGTTGCTCATATGTTTCGCCTCAGCATCCTTCTGTAGAACAGCATTTCTGCTGCTTCAAGTCTCTTCATCAGTGAGGAAATTGTCCAGCATTTATTGTCATATTGTAGGTGATATTATATAACAGTGCAGTATCTTATCTGACATTAAAAATGGAAGAAAATATTTCACTATTAATGACAATGATAATTATTATTTTTTTTGTTTTGCTTTTTATTTTAAGAAAGATAAAAATTTGACTAACACGCAAAATGAAAATTTGTTCAGTTTTAAAGGTACTGTAAATGATCAAACTTGTTAAAATTGGTTTGTGGCATTTGATGCTGGAGATTTGCTGAATGACGCTCCAAACTTCAGCTCGGCTAGTTGAGGCAGGATGATAGTGATTAAATCATATGATAAATTGAAAATAATTAAAATCAACATCATACAAATTGGGAGACTGTGAACATGCTGAAAATATTCAAATCAAGAGAGGAATTGTTTGTACTAACTTGATTATGTTAGTCGCTTTGGTGTGTATCTTCTACAATACATTTATATTATAAAAATAAGAGCTGATTCTCTGTCACTCATGTACTGTGTGTGACTTTGTATGTGTGCATGCAATGTATATCCCTATATCTGTGTTGAGTGTGAGTGAGTTGCTTGTGTGAGTGTGTGTACACACACGCACACACATTCCCTTCCCACTTAGTCTAGACAGTTCCTACCTTGGATTGGGCAATAATATAAAATTGGAGAGAATAAGGAAAAAAGCTTTTTTTTTTTTTTTTTTTAAACTTAAAATCAGGTATAAGATTTTTTGGGAATTTTTCAGAAATTATTTAGTAATAAATAGAATTATTTTTTCAAGTTTTTCTTTTTTAAATTTTGTAGAAATGTTTTTAACTCTGTCATTAAATTAAAATATGCACACATACACATGCAAGCATACAAACACAATTTGAATTAAATTGAAATAGACCTGTGTGTCATGATGCTTAATTTATCTTTCTGTCTGCCAACAACAATTGGGTAACTGGAAAAGAACATAAGTTGGTCCTTTGAAATCACTTTTATGGCTCCTTCTGTATTTGATCATTTTGCTGTTAGCAGAAGTAACATGTACTGAACTAGTAATTATAATTATTATTTGTGTTTTTTTAACAAATTTTGATGCTCAATGAAAAGTAAATACATTATAAACAGTTGGAATGCAGGTGAAATGATTTCAAACTACCAATACTAAAGGCTGATTTTTTTTTCTTTTCTTTTCTTTTTTTTTTTTTAATTATTTCACCCCAAGCAAGGCAACAAAGCCACTAACACACAGACTTACTGAGTGTGAAAGAATAAAAGACAAACACTATTAAAGATTGAAAACAACAAAAGCACACAAATTAAGAAGATAATGATTAACATTGCATTTAAATTTTTGAAGATCAAACTTGATTGGAAAGCAAGAAGCTTGGAAGTGAGTTCCACAAGTAAGAAGTGTGAAAGAAGAAACTGTTAGCATTTAGCCATTTCAACTGTAAAATTATGTCGCCAATCTAGTACTATGCTTAAATTCACAGTTTAGGTACCATAGAGGAAAGTAATATTTATTTTGCAAATACAAAAGTTTAGCACAAGGCCAAAAGGAGGGATAGGGGAAGGCTGATCTTCAGTCTGTCTTATCTTAATCTTAGCTAGCCACAATTACTGACCCAAACATACCACAGTATTCCTTCCACCAAAACAACACATTCTTACTACAGTCACCATAATACCCCAAAGTCTCTATGGAAGCCTAACTAGTTCCCATATGTACAATTTGTCAGTGAGGAATAAAAATAACAACTTTTAAAAATGAAACCCCATACCAGAAAGTTCATCAGTAGAATTACCATGAGAGTATTTATAGAAAAGTATTTATAGGGAAGATACATTATGGCAGTGGGAGAGTGACTGAAGCTGAAATGTCAGTTCAGGACTAATGACATTGCAGATTCTTCTTTGAGTTTTATCAAGATCACTAAGTGTATAGCAGAAACACTAGACTATATGTGGCAGGAATATTCAAAGCATGGACGAATGGTAGACTTGTAAATATATGTAAGATAGATTTGTGTGAGAAAAATTGTCAAACATGAAACTGAATACCAATTTTCCTTTCATCCCTAAAAGCTGACATTGTGTTTATGGTAGGATTCTAAGAATGCTCTTGACTATGGGCTCCTTTTAAGTACCCCTATGATTGATTTAAACAAATACTACTAATTCAGCCAACGAAAGGCAGCAATCAATAAAAGTCTTTATTTCCCCCAAAATTACGTGAAAGCCTGTAATCTTCTA